CACTAGCAGACAGTAAATATGTGCAGGAACAAAACTAGTTGGACCCATTCTTTGTATTATTGCTCTTATATATGGGTCACACCTCTATTATAATGATGGTACTCAATTTAGTGACAAATAATAGGATTAATTGAATGACATCAGCTCTTACCTGGATATAAACGTCAAATGCCCGTCTCTTTAGTATACTATATGATTCCTTCTCCCTGAATACTATTTCAGCAAAGTGAAGGGTCACATTATATTTGCCTTTGTGTAAGTAAGCATAATAACTTAGGAAGACAGGGGCAATCCGAGCATTTAAATATAAGTCTGCGTCAGGAACATGAATTCCACATGGCTGGTTCTGTATGAAATTACTAGAATTGGACTCCGGTGATAAGAAGTCTCCAGAAAGGCTATAACCCCAGGTTTTGGATGGACTAATATAATAGAGTGAAGTTGAGTTATCTGCTTCATAATACTTGTCACCAACAGTTAATCCCTCACCACCACAATTTATAAACAAGGAACGAGCTGCAAATGTTAGTCACAAAGGGATAGATTAGATAAAATAAAGTGCTAAATAGGTACTCATTACACTGTGACTACCAGTTTTCTTTTATAGATTGATACTCATACTCTCTTATCATGCTTACGTAACCAACCATTTAAAAATTCATCCCTTGGAAGAATAATAATTCCTCACCAGACAAAATGATATACGTGACAAGTATTTAACGGTGCTGTTTTTTTATTTTTTTTTATATATTTACAGTTTTACATATTCTATTGCCAATTTTCAATCAGGTATAAAGTTATGTGTAATTGTATACATGTCTGAAGAACCAACCAAACTCACATTTAGATTTTCGTCCAGGACAATGCGTATGCATGCGTTTCTTTGGATCCCTGAATAAACCACCGAATTTGTAAGAAACGGCCCTTGGCTTTTCTTATACTAGAACAGATAAAAATATTAACATACACAAATAGTTGATCTGGATGGGTTGAACTGCTGCAGCAGGAAAACAAGTTCCTGAAATGTATGGAAAACGATCTCATCATAATTCCACATGCAACTAGATTGGTAACAATAGAAAAAGAAAATTAATGCCAATTCTTACAGATGATTTCGCTTATCGTCTGGCACTACGAAGCTAACTTCGGAAAAGTTATTGTACGACAGATCCCTAAAAAGACATATGGTCAAATTTCATAGCTAATGGAATGTGGGAACATAATAAGCTCCTAGAAAATGATGGTGGCTTAGATAAGGATTTTTCTTTTCCATACAATTAAGCATTCCGGTGTCAAATCTAAGTAGCTGTCTGATGAAAGAAGTGTTTTAGTATCTAAATTACTGCATGAAACTTTTTGTAGAATGATAATTTCACAACAACTATTCATATAAATATTTCATTGCAGGGATATGATTGAAGCTAAGAAGACACTCAAATATCAGCTCAAAATTAATACAGAATTCAAATAGCGCCTTTTTTGGTCTTAATCAATGTTAAAAGTAATGCATATTAGTTGTATCTTTTCCTACAGGTTTCTTATGAAGAGTTGTATCTCTTTACTATATGAGAAGTTGTATCTTTTAGATATCAAAAGTTGCATCTGTATCTCTTGGAATTAATTCAAGAGTTGTGTCTTATTATGCAAAGGTGTAAATGTAATTATAAATAGCCAATGTTATGGCTGCTGATATATTGAAGAAGTTAATAAAAATCAGTTTGTATAATTCTCTGTTTTTACAAATACTCTCTGCCTTACTTCATATTTCCATCATATTCTTCAGTTTTGTGATCATTCCCCCTACAAATTTGGTACCAGAGCAGTATTTGATCTTATCGCTACCGCTGTGATTAGCAATGGCATCAAGTTCAAATTCATCTACCATTGGGAATATCCAGAATCTAATGCCTATTTTTGATGGTGAGAATTATGAGTATTGGAGCGTTCAAATGAAGACTCTGTTTATCTCCCAGGATCTTTGGGATATTGTAGAAGATGGGTATGAGGAACAAGAAACTTCAAAAGCAGGAAAGGAAACACAAGAAAAGCAACAGGTTTACAAGGAAAATAAGAAAAAAGATGCCAAGGCGTTGTTTCTAATTCAACAAGGAGTAAGCAAAAATCTCTTTCCAAGATTACTTTCAGCAACAACATCAAAGAAGGCTTGGGAAATTCTCAAAATTGAGTTCAAAGGTTCAGAAAAAGTGATCTCCATCAAACTGCAATCCTTATGGCGGGAATTTGATAACTTACTTATGAAAGACAATGAATTCATTCAAGCATTCTTCACAAAGGTTTCTGGGATTGTGAACCAAATCAGATGTTATGGGGACACAATTTCAGACAAGAAAATTGTAGAGAAAACTTTACGAAGTCTACCGCCAAAATATGATCATGTCGCTGCTGCAATAGAAGAATCAAAAGATTTATCTACACTTTCTTTACATGAATTAATTGGTTCATTGGAAGCACATGAAAAAAGAATCAACAGATCCACAGAACAATCAGTGGAGCAAGCTTTCCAGTCCAAGGTGAATTCGAAGGCGAAAGAAGACAGACAAAAAGGAGGACAATTCTAGAAATCTCAAAATGAGAGAAACAAAAAATTTGGGCGTAGAAACTCCAACAAAGGAGGCAACAGTTTCAATAATCAACAACAAAGCAGCAGTCCCAATCATCAACAAGGAAGCAGCAGTTCCAATAATCAACAAGGAAGCAGCAATTCAAATAATCAAAATGGAAGATCATCCCTTCAATGCTATGTTTGCAACAAATATGGGCATAAAAGTGCAGATTGCTGATACAAATGTACTCGGTGCAGGATACCCAACCATTCACAAAGAGACTGCAGATATCAGAAAAGCAATGAAGCAAATTTAACGTAGAAAAATGACTCTCAAGAGCAATTATTTTATACATGTTTCAGTTCTCATCAAGATTCACAAGATGTTTGGTACGTGGATAGCGGATGCAGTAATCATATGACAGGAAATAAGCAATGCTTTGTCAAGTTAGAAGAAAAAGTGAATTCACAAGTCAAGCTTGGTAATGGAAAACTACACAACGTGGAAGGCAAGGGTATCATTTCAGTGCAAACAAAAGGAGGTACTTCAAAACTTATCTATGATGTGCTATATGTTCCTAATTTGGCTCAAAATTTACTAAGTGTTGGACAACTTTTGCAAAGAGGATTCTTGGTGAAATTTGAAGATGATTGTTGTGTTATTTCTGATAAAAAGAATAATACTCTGGTGGCAAAGATTAAAATGACAACAAACAAAGTTTTTCCGCTGTTGATGACATCAAAGGAAAACTTTGCTTTGGAAGCAGAGAAAGTTGATGGATCGTTGTTATGACATCTAAGATATGGGCATTTGAATCAAAGAAGCCTGCAACTGTTACACCAGAAAAATATGGTGGTTGGACTTCCGTCTATTCACTCTGAAAAGGAAATTTGTGAAGGCTGTATTTTTGGAAAATTCCATCGGTTACCATTCTCACAATCATCTTGGAGAGCAAAAGCCCCTCTTGAATTGGTACATGCAGATATTTGCGGACCAACTCGTACACCATCCTTCAATAACAAAAGGTACTTCATTCTATTCATAGATGATTTCTCCAGGATGATGTGGGTATATTTCTTAGAACAAAAGTCAGAAGCATTTTCTGTTTTCAAGCAATTTAAAGCTTTTGGAGAAAATCTGTCACATCCCGGATCGGCTCTGCCGTAGCATGATATTGTCCGCTTTGGGCCCCCCCTCTTTGGCCCTCACGGTTTTGTTTATGGGAGCTCACGACCAACTTCCCAGTGGGTCACCCATCCTGGGATTGCTCTCGCCCCCAACTCGCTTAACTTCGGAGTTCCTACAACTCCGAAGCCAGTGAGCTCCCAAAAGGCCTCGTGCTAGATTGATGTGGGCATGTGCATATAAGGCACATCAACCCCCTCTCCGTTGGTCAAAGTGGGATCTTACAATCCACCCCCCTTAAGGGCCCGACGTCCTCGTCGGCACACTTGCACCACACGGCAGAGTGGCTCTGATACCAAATTGTCACAGCCCGGATCGGCTCTGCCGTAGCACGATATTGTCCGCTTTGGGCCCCCCCTCTCTAGCCTTCACGGTTTTGTTTCTAGGAGCTCACGACCAACTTCCCAGTGGGTCACCCATCCTGGGATTGCTCTCGCTCCCAACTCGCTTAACTTCGGAGTTCCTACAACTCCGAAGCCAGTGAGCTCCCAAAAGGCCTCGTGCTAGATTGATGCGGGCATGTATATATAAGGCACATTAACCCCCTCTCCGTTGGTCAAAGTGGGATCTTACAAAATCAGAGTGGTCACAATATGAAGGTGTTAAGAACAGATCATGGTGGAGAGTTTACATCAAATGAATTTTCTGAATATTGCAAAAGCAATGGTATTAAAAGAGAGTTGACAGCAAGGTACACCACACAGCAAAACGGAGTTGCCGAACGAACCATTGTTGAGATGACAAGAAGCATGTTGAAGGTAAAGGGTCTGCCGAATGCATTTTGGGCTGAAGCAATTCATACAGCAGTGTTTATTCTTAATCGGTCTCCAACCAAGGCAGTCAAAGATAAGACTCCTTTTGAAGCATGGCATCGTTTTAAACCAAACGTGGATTTCTTCAAGATTTTTGGCAGCATTGCATATGCACATATCCCTTCTCAAAAAAGAGAAAAATTTGATGAGAAAGGTGAGAAAAATATTTTTGTGGGATATAGTGATCAGTCCAAAGCATACAGATTAATTGATCCAAGAACCAATAGTTTGGTAATTTCTAGAGATGTTATTTTTTATAAACTCAAAGCTTAGAAATGAGAGAATGATGATATTGAAGTGCCAAGATTTTTTGAGGAACTAGATTCATCAAATTCAGAAGAAACTCAGATGCTTCAAAGTCCAATATCAAGTACAAGAACACGTTCCTCCAGTTCTAGTTCCTCTAAAAGATCATCACCTTCAAGCGCAAGGCCAATCGAGAAAATATGTTTAATGGAGGATCTATATGAGTCCACTAATGAAATTGTTTTGAGTGCTATTGAACCTCAAAAATTCGAGGATGTTGTAAAAGAAAATATTTGGCAAGATGCAATGGATGAGGAAATAAGAGTTATATCAAGAAAAATAGAACATGGGAACTTGTTGATCGACCCAAATCAAAAGATATCATTGGACTTAAATGGGTCTACAAGACAAAGTTTAATGAAGATGGCTCAATCCAAAAGCATAAGGCTCGCTTGGTTGCAAAAGGATATTCTCAACATCCAGGAATTGATTTTAATGAGATGTTTGCTCCAGTAGTTCGAATGGAAACTATAAGAACTGTTTTGGCTTTGGCTACACAACTGAAGACAAAGGTTTATCAATTGGATGTCAAATCTGCATTTTTAAATGGAGAATTTGAAGAAGAGGTTTATGTGAAGCAACCTCAAGGTTATGTTGAGAAAGGGAGGGAAGATAAAGTTTATCGCCTCCGTAAAGCCTTATATGGCTTAAAACAAGCGCCAAGAGCCTGGAACAACAAAATTGATCACTATTTTCAGCAAAATGGATTTACAAGAAGCTTAAGTGAGCCATCACTTTATCTCAAGAAAGAAGGTACACATGATTTTCTGATTTTTTTGCCTCTATGTTGATGATTTGATTTATACAAGCACAAATCCAAGGTTGGCATAATGAGATGACGGATCTGGGTACTATGAGATATTTTCTTGGTATACAGGTTCAACAATCAGATGATGGGATATTTATTTCTCAAGAGAAGTATGCTGAAAATCTGTTGAAAAAATTCAATATGTTGAAGAGCAAACCAATGGATACTCCAATGGCAATTAATTTGAAGCTTACAAGTAACGATGGAGCACCTAAGTTTGATGCATCCATATATCGAAGTGCGGTTGGTTCATTAATTTATCTTACAAATACAAGGCCAGATATTGTTCATGTCATAAGTGTGGTATCTAGATTCATGAGTGATCCAAGTAATCACCATTTTTCTAGTAAAAAGAATATTCAGATACATACAAGGAACCAAGGGATATGGTATTAGATATACACAAGAGAAGGAAGCATAGTATACACAAGCGAAGGAAGCACAGTTGGTTGGCTACACAGACAGTGACTGGGCAGGTGCAATTGATGATAGAAAGAGCACCTTTGGACATGTGTTTTTCTTAGGAAACAAAGCTTTATCATGGTCATCAAAGAAGAAAAGTACTGTGGCACTATCATCAGCAAAAGCTGAATACATTTCAGCCACAAGTACAACATGTGAAGCAGTTTGGTTACGAAGAATTCTGGTAGATCTTCATCAAATTCAAAAATCACCAACTGATATTTATTGTGATAACATGTCCACAATTGCAATGACAAAGAATCCCGTTTTTCATAGCAGGTCAAAACACATTGAGCTTCGTCATCATTTTATCAGAAAATTGGTTGAAGACAAAGAGATCGAATTAAAGTTTTGTGGCACTGATGAACAGATTGCAGATGTTTTCACCAAAGCACTTCCTAGAGAGAAGTTTTATTTCTTCCGAGATAAATTAAGTGTGAAGGACAAATGTATTAAGGGGAGTGTTAAAAGTAATGCATATTAGTTGTATCTTTTCCTACAGGTTTCTTATGAAGAGTTGTATGTCTTTACTATATGAGAAGTTGTATCTTTTAGATATCAAAAGTTGCATCTGTATCTCTTGGAATTAATTCAAGAGTTGTGTCTTATTATGTAAAGGTGTAAATGTAATTATAATAGCCAATGTAATGGGCTGTTGATATATCGAAAAAGTTAATAAAAATCAGTTTGTATAATTCTCTGTTTTTACAAATACTCTCTACCTTACTTTATATTTCCATCCTATTCTACAGTTTTGTGATCATTCCCCCAACAATCAAGTGCACAATGGCTTTAAGAAACCAGCATTACTACTGACAACTGTCACTAAGAAAGATAACTACGATGCTACCAACAATTCCTCATTATAGAGAGTACTTCCTAGATAGTTTCCTTTTATTTGCTAGGCTGTTGCATGGTTCTTTCATATATGTATGCGCACACAAGGTTTACTACCGCATGTAAACAACCAGACTGATACATACTCTCTCCAACCGAAGGTCAATCCAGTATATTTGAATTTGCCATCAATTGCAGGTTCAAAAAGCAACGATCCTAATTCTAAGAAATCTCAAAAGTTAAAGTTCCACTTAGTGAACTTGAGTCATAAACAACATTAAACTGGTCTTACTTTAATCCCAAAGGTGTTAAAGGAAATTATGAGATACTAAGCTTTCGGACAATCATTGTTAAATAAAGATCAATTATCAAGATACCAAGCTTTCGGACTTACTTGACAGCCAATGCATGAAGATAAAAATAGCTGTACATAGTTTAAGAATTTGAATATAGAAGCTTACAATCTAGTCTTGACTTCACCAACCCAATCAGGGATTGTGTCACTAAGTCTATTTTTTGCCAAGGACCTGAGGAGAGAGAAAGTTAATAATAGAATACTAACATCAGCAAGAGTTCGGTGGTCTTTTGTGTAGCAAAAACACACGAATTTCATTCACTTACAAGTGAGTTAAATTTAAACCTTTCATGGATTGTGGGATTCGTCCGGTTAAATTGTTAAAGCTCAAATCCCTGTTAAGAATACATAGAGGCATTAACAACTTGGGAACTTAGTTAACTAGTCTGTGAGATGAATTGTATCAAAGTACATTCAAAAGCAGGAATTGAAACAAATCAGTCAAAAGCATAAACATAAACCATTACTCTAGGGACTTGTGAAGGTGTTGTGTGTGTGTGTGTGTGTGTGTGTGTGAGAGAGAGAGAGAGAGAGAGACTCACAAGTATTTTAAATTTGACATTTTACCAATGTATTCAGGGATTTCACCGGTGATGGAACAGTTCCTTAATATCCTATAGAAACCATGAGAAGAGGTGAGTGAGTGGATAAATCATGAGCATGAGATGCTTACATCTACTGATGCTGACTGCATAATAAATTATGCAACTTAAAGAAATGTTGGGGTTTGTCCCAGCACAAAGACTCTTGCAGAGCAAAATGTCCCAGCACAAAGACTCTTGCAGAGCAAAATAAAGCTTTTTAAAAGTTTACATCTGGCCAGTGAACATGAATTAATTCAACTCTTTGCCCTGTACATGTTTTTGTATTAAATCTCTTAAAAATTGAATAGATGTGTGCGACATGCAATAAAAACCATTTACAGAGTGTATATATTGCTCAGGTTTGCAAATCGTGGGAATTGGAAACCAGAGTTTGCTACGTTACTGATCATTCTGCAAAATGGACACAAAAAATTCATCACGAAAACAGAGCTGCTGATTTTTCTTTTTTCTTTTTCCTTTTTTCTGAAAAAGTGGGTTAATGAAACAGAAGGGGACGATGTACTTACAAAACCCCAAGACTGGAGTAATTAAAAAGTTCTGCAGGTAGACTCCCTTCAAAATTGTTTCCCAAAATTGACCTGTGAGCAGTGCAGAGTAATATTAAATTCAGATGTACATATCAACTTTGACAATTCATTTTGTTTTAACTCTATCACAAAAAAAATCTAACTTTCAATGTCTCTATGAGATAACAAGCTACAGACAATTCATTTTGTTGTAGGCATGATCAGCACCTCAGATTTGAGAAGCTTAATATGTAGAATAGCTCTTGGAATTATATTCCCAAAGATTCACATGATACAAATTGCATGCAGTAACGTAAAGGAAAACTTACAGTGAATATAGTTGGGTGCATTTTCGGATGAAGTCAGCTGGAAAGCGACCAGACATATAGTTGCCAGATATTGAACTGCATTGGCCAATTAGGCTCTCTCAAAAATTAATAAATTCACCTTACTGTAGATTGCAGGCATCAAGAACATTAAATAAAGAAAAATCCTGCTGCAGTCACCAAATTTTTTTCCTCAAATGACGTGGCCGTGTTTCATTTATTCAAATTTGGGTCCACTATTGACCCATTTATTTCCAACAAAATACTAAAGATGTGCATC